ACTAGGAAAATACCGCAGTACACCGAACGCAGCTGTGCCTGGTCCTTCCCTCGGTTTACTTGTGTCTGATTTGCATACATCTCATTCATTCCATACATGAATTATCGTTTTGGAAAACATTTGAATGAACAGCCTCCAGAGAAGCAGTACTAACAGAGTATATTATTGAATGGAGGCTGTGTTACGCTTTTCTATCACATTTCTGGAGTTCTCTGTATTTTTTTAAATTCGCAAGAAAGCGCCGCTTGGCATTAAATGTAAAGACGGCCAAGCAGTACATGGAAAGTGAGTTAAGCCTCCCGCTTGACTATCTTCAAAAAAATGCAAGTACTGTAAGATAATAAAACGCAAACCCTGATGAAAAAATAAATGAGGAAGAATATATTAAATCCGAGATCGATTTGCTGTGATGGACTATCCGACCAGGATACACATGTTTCCACTTGGAAATTTGGACTGAAATCTTTGTTTGAATTTTTGTTGCATCGGTAAACATAATTACTACTTCGCAAGTGGAAATCCAAAACCCTCGACAAGCTCGAGCATTTAGCTCAGTCTAGTCTGATTGAAGTTTAGCCTGAGTGGACAACGCGTGCTGTACCATTAACAAGTTTTTGACTTCACAAAACCATCCCTGGCAAGCGTCATTCATATTTCAGAAAGATTCAGCTTCTTTGATTTTTATCGTAAGATGTGTTGCGCCTTTCACTGTATCGTTTCACTCGCTACTACTGATAAATGAACGAATTTAGTTTGAGAATCTCCTCCAGTTAAGTTAGCGCCGGCTTCTTTTGTTCAACCTCTGCTGGTTACGGTGCGAAGCAGCGTCTTAATGAAATGCAACAAACTGCTAGTCTGTAAGTCCCACTGTACTTCGATATTCTAGGGGTTTGCTACTGAATTACAGTGATGAGATTGGATCAGTTTCACCAGTGGTTTATGATAAATATTTTAAAAACCAGCTGCGGAGGAAAAGTCAAAAGCCATTTTGGAACTTTCTTCACCGGTTTTTGCTAAATACCTCCAGAAAAACAGAGAGGTATTATGCTTTAAAATGTTAAGATGACAATAAATGAGTTAACTGAATCACGTAAGGATAACCAGGCAGGACAAAATGGTGGCCATTCGAGTTCTTCAGCCAACACGTACTTTGGTATTTTATTTTTGTGTGCAAGTGCGAACTAGCCATGCAAGCATGAAGGATAAAGTTCACTGTTGCGGCTGGTGGGAAATACGGGACAAGCGAGAAAGGAAAGGGGCTGATATCCAGCGATTTGTCGCCACAGGGGCCATAATTTAGTGCCCATTTCACTGAAGTACTAAAGAAGTAAGTTAGAATAAGTGATTATAACTATAGGAAATGACAAATCTCATATTGCAAAATTATTAATGAACGTCTTTACTATTTTGTGCTGGATTCAGAACATCAGGCCCTTTTTTTCTACAGTGGCTTCTCCCCAGTTCCATTATCTCAATTAAGTGCACCCATTGCGTTATCGGACACCATTCAAGCAGCAAGTGGCATGAATAGCTGCAGCAAATGGTTAGAGGAATTTTGCTTTTTTAAGAACTTGCCAAGCAATTGAGAGCTGTGTGCTGGGAAAAATATTGCCCCGTTCACAAGCGAAAAGCAAACTGCATTGCAATTTTGCGCTTTTTTTTAATATATATGTTTTTTCAAAAGCCTTTATTTTTTTCAGTTCAAGACTCACAATTTTTAAAAACTGGAGTGTGTTTAGGATGAAATGAATAACTGAGCGAATAAGTAACAATCTTCTGAACTGAATTTCTTTTTACCGGAAAAGTACCGTCTCAGCATTTACAGCTATGAAAACGGTAGCCAAATTATAGCACTTAGTGAAATAGTGCCTCAGTGACGAAAAACGCAGTTCATAGCCAACACTAGACCTAACCTGCCAGTTCCTGTACGCACATTTATATTATGAGAGCAATGCAATTCCTTATTTCTTTAGGAAAACGAACCCAGCAGCGACTCAAACCAGTGTTGTCGGTGCAGTTCTGCGTTTTCACAGAATGGAGCTTGCCGTAAGCGCGGGTGAAAGCTACTGCTACTTTTGCGCCCCACAAAATCAGACATTTTCTACAAAATTCCAGCCTTCCTGCCTGCCTGGTTGACGAGAGTGTAGGATAACGGCAGCACTGGAATTTGAGCATTTGATATGTCTGTACAAGGGAGACACTCATAAGTAAAAGCTCCTTTTTACGCTTGCTAGCCCCTATATGAATAGCAAACATTTCCTCAGAAAAATGCTGCTTCCTGCTTAGTCTGGTTACCGAGTTAATTAGGTGCCAACAGTGCCTCAAACTAAAATTTCGCTTGCACACATGCGAGACCTAGGTGTAATTTAAAGCTGAATTTAATTTAAAATGTTTTGATCAAATATGGATACAGAATAACTTAAAATTTCAGCTTCCTATCCTGAGCTGTCCGCGAAGTCGCTTTTTATTATAAACGTCTTTGACGCGCCTGAACAAGCGATACAGGCATATCCAAAACTTACTTTACCTGTATACAGGTATCAAATATTTTTAAAGATTCAGGGCACTCCTTGCGATCTGTTTTACGAAGTAGCACTTTGCTTCGATTCCAATTCTATGCTTTGATTTCAACTCTAATGTATCATTAGGCTTGCGTAATAGCCAAATTTGAAATACTTAGCTCAGATAAGCGTATCGACCAGCTTTTTGAAATTTCAGTTTACTCGCTTATCTGGCTCTCGAAATCATCATTCTGTCAAAGCTTTTTCAAATTCCCGGGCTTGCGTACGTGAGATTCTGGCATAAGTAAGCAATCATTTTAAAGTGGAACAGTCGCAAGAAGGGCAGGAGCATGGTTTAAATGCTTCATTTTCCTAGCATCTCTGGTAGCACAGACACACACACACACACACATAGACAACCTCTTGTCAATATTTATTTTTAGCGCATTTGCATAATCATGCAGAAACGTATAAAAAGTCGATAAGCGTTTCAAAACGTTACTACGGACACCAAATTTTCATAGACTCACACAAAAAAACGGACCTTGGAAGGACTTTCCAGCAGCACAAAAACACCGACTCCAAATACACTTCTTATTCAACAATTAAAAATTTACTGTAGTGGCTGATTAGCGCTACTACATGAGGCTCGACTCCACCACTAGAACAGTTGATCCTCCTACGATTCGTTCAACTTTTTTGATGGTAAATTGGTAATGAAATACGTCAGGGATTCACTATCAGCCTACTTTTATGTAGTCCTCAGAAGGGGGAACCATTAATAGAGCTAGTCGCTGAGCCTGTGATGCTACATTATGAGGTCCTGTAAAATTTCAAGTTTCTAGCACGTCTGATTAAGATGAGAGGAGAATGCCGATAATTTTGCAGAGGGGATTTTAATGTGTCAGCGCACAGGACGTAGATATAACTGAAGGCTCATTTTGCGCCTGTGGGTCCGTACATGTACAGCAAACATTCCTTGTAAAAGAAATAGTGTTTGCTCGGTTTTGTCCCGATTTAGGATACCAAGAAGCTTACAAACTGAAATTTGCCGTGTTCGTATGCATAAGCTGATTTTTTATTTCTGAAGCCGCACAAGTTATTTCAGCTTCCCAGCATGCCTGGACCGCAAGAAAAAGATGTCGAACAATTTGCAAATTGCATATTTAACGTGTTCGAACGAGAGGCATACGTGTGCGCGAAAGCTCATTTTATGCTTGCGGGACGTACAAGGTTATAGAGTATCCTCGTGAAATTTCAGCTTCTTGTCTAGTCTGGTTTTCGAAATTATTTTTTCGTTAATGATTTTTCAGTTTTGATTTCAAACGCCTGTAATTGGTAAGCAAGCAAAATTGGAAGTTAATTTTATGTTTATGATGCCGCACATGGATGAGTAATATCCTTGTAAAATTCCAGCTTCCTGGCCGCTCTGGCTGCTGAGTTGAAAAAGTGAGGGACAAAATCCGAAAACAAACATGCACACGGACTTTCATGCACGTACATATATATATATATATATATATACACGCATGCACACCGATAACCTTTGTACAGAATGTTTCTGTACCCCATCAGTGATGAATACGCATAAAAGTTGAACAATTTTTAACTGTTAAATCTAATAGGGCTCGTTTTAACCTGTAAACCATACTGCACAAATAATGGTATTTGAAACTGTGATAGAGATATAAGCTTGCATATTTGTAAAATGCAAACTTACTTGTAATTTAGCAAACTATAACTAACCGTCGAGTAATGTAAATTTTTTCAAGTAAACTTCTTCATTAGCAATGTCAAAAAACCTTGGACATATTACGTGGAGCAAAAGAACATCTGGAACTAGTGCGTCATAATCGAGTCGCGATAGGCGATAAAGATGCGGTGAGTGGCCTAATTGCTTGTGTCACACTAATTTTTAATAAAAAGACAAAGAGAAAAAAGGAAAAAACTTACTGTGAGGCATCGTAGAAATAAATAATAAGGGATCCGATAGACAGTATGAATACTAATACGACGAGGATGCGACCTGTCATACTTTGGCCCGAAATCAGTTCGCCTGCCCAGTCTTTTGCCTCTGTCATCCAGCCAATTTGAACTTCTTCTTGCTTCAACGCAATGCCATCTAGTTCCCCTTTCAAAAGCCCATGCTTTCCTTCGTCCTGCATATCCAGAAAATTCATCATAACGGAATTTTCCACATTTTGGTAATAAAGAGGTCTAATTTCACAAATGGTAGCAAGGATGTGCAATCAACCATCAATTTATGTACGAAAAACAAAAAAAGGCGAATGTGAGTTGGATGGACGCGTTTGGCAAATGAGGCTTGAAGGAGGTGTCACCTGGTCAAGCACAGCATCGATGTCTTCACGTTCTCTTCGTTGACAGAATATATGTGTGATGATCCGCCAAATAACCACCAATAACATCGATACACAAAATGTTACTATGCTGAAAAAAACAGATGACAAGTACAACTACAGATCAGCCACGTTGCGATTCTGAGACATTCCATCACAGCAGAACCATTCCACAACAGGTGGTGTTTCAAAACAATGTGCTCTTTTCGACAGCCCGACAAACCAAATGAATTTTACATGAAAATCTCTTGTGGATCGATAAGCTATTGTGGCGACAGTACCAGTAAAGAGTATTTTAACAGCAGCTGATCTAGTAAGGGTGCAAAATTTTTTTGATGACTTAGCGCTGCTGCTACCATTGCCACTTGAACTAGGTGATTAAAGTAAGTGAAAAGCTGGCATATGCATAACTGGGAAAGACGCTATGAACTGCAAATAGCCAAAGTGTTAAAGAATATTGCTTTGTACAACAGGGAGCTAATTAATTCACTCTCCGGTTGTGCTACGAAGAAGTAAAAAAATTTTGAGCTTGTGTCATGTTTCATTTATAAAGTTTGCCTCAACTTAGGCCTGATCAGTATAGAAAAAGGGCTTAAAACTGAGTTTAGAAGATTCAGTTAACTCACAATAAACCAAATGTCCGAAAATTTCGAGCTTATCTTTTTTCGAAATTTTAAAATTAGTCCAATTGCAATGAGATTTTTTCTTCTGCTGATTTTAGAATATCCTATTTGCAGTGCTTAATAAATAGAGCTTTCGAGTTTTCAGGTTAGTGACGCTGTCCATAATCGAAATGTGGACACTGTTTAAAAGTGGACTCGAGGCTACAAGTTGGGGAAGAGGGAGAGATGAAAGCTGATACTGACGTTGTGCTCTCTATGACCAATATTAAATTCTCCTCTAAACTAAATTGTCCGGATAGACACCCAAACAAATGCCACAGATACGATCTCGCCGCAAAGTGTTTTCTTACAGAATACGTTGAAAATGCATCAGAGCTGAAGATGCAAATTTTTAGCTGAAAAAATTGCTCTCAAATACTACGGTAAAGTAATACACACCTGCGAAGTGATACAGTCATGTGTTTTCGCAAAAATTTTGCACAGTAAATATTTTTTTTTTGCAAGCTGGCTTGAATTGTACATTCATTTAAAAACTTTTTAATGAATTTTGACATAATTATGCAAATGCAAAAAAGCATGTTTCAAAAAGATGTGTGCTTAAGTATTTGTTTATGTTTGTGTATGCCCGTGTACTCATTCGCTTTCCTCTATCCATTTTCAATTCAGCAGCCAGAGAAACTAGAAGGCCGAAATTTTTAGAGTACGCTGCCACCCCGCCTTCCTATCCTAAAAGTCCGCCTTCACGTACGTCTAGATTTCACGTACGAAGTTTTAGTGGGAAAATAACTGAAATTCAGATACGATAGGAGAATGAAATTCTCAAGAACCTCATCTGCTGTTGTGTGAACTAAAGATTTCAAATCCAGCTATTATGCACAAATGCTACTACACTGCAACAGCCAGCAAGGACGCATACTGTCACTACCCATGAATGCACTGCATGCGTGTGTTCTGGGTATTTCAACTCGGTAATTACGCAAGCTTAGGTGCTGGAGTTGTGCCAGTGTGTCTCTTGGCCAACTGCATTTCCAGAAACAAGATACCAACTTTTGCGCACGTTAATACATAAGCACCTCACACATGGACGCGTGGAGGTTTTGGCGGGAAAAATGTCAATCCGGGGACCAGAAATGCAAGAAGGTAGACATTTTAGAGGGATGTTCTCTGCCCATATTGGAACCGAGGCTTTCAAATTCAGCTGCAAGGTACAACTGAACTTCACGTACGCGAACGTAAAGTTTAGGCTGGAAATTGTTGGGAACTTTTCAAGTCCGAGAAAAATACGACAGAAAACTGATGCTCTGCGACGATGTTTTGTAACGAGCGAGCCTCAATGTCCAAATTCAACTCTCACATAAGCATAAGCAGATCTGGGGCGGCTCCTTTGCGGAGGGGTTACGAGTGGGGCTTCTACTAATGATGCGCAGGGCAGGGGGGAGGAGGGAGAGATGTGATTCTAGCGTAGGGATGATCGGGGGCGGGGGAAGGGGAAGCGACGGGGACGCAGGAGAGAGTTTTCTTCAGTTTTAGCTTTAGACCCTGACTTTTGTAGCGCTGGTACTCTGAGCCGCTGGGGAAAGCGAAAGACCCATTGCCCTCCCACTCCCTCTGGATCCACCTATGTATACAAGCCGAGATCTCATTTACAGAAGCATGTTAACGTGAAATTTATTAAATCAAGAACTGGAACAGCAGGATCCGTTCCTCTACAATATGCGACCCCGAAAAACTAAATCCAGCTTTAAGCTGAAGCGCGTGAAATCTGAAACTGCACAGTTTTCCAACTATGTAACTTGACAAGCTGAAGATTTGAAACTTTTTGTATCATGATTGTTGGTAAGGCCTCTGTCCTGAAGTACGCTATCTGAACCAAACATAGCACTTTAAATTGAAAAATTCAGCCTTGCTGCGCAATAAAAAGAAATTCTGAATGAAAATTATCATCAAATAAGCAACATTTTAGCTAATCGCAGCTCACCAACAACCCTGATGTGCACTGCTACTGGCTTTTCGGATGAAGTAGGTGCCAGCCATCTTCTAAGCAGTGCTTCAAGAGATAACCCCATCTTCACTGTGATGTCAAATTAACTAGGATAATAGTCGAGGGACATGTACTGGTCTGTTTATCCTTGCAGAGATTACGAGACTGCAGAAGCACGAAGGGATGGAAAAAGGATTACCTTGAAAGCAGGAAGCACCAGT